TATGACAACAATAAATATCAGCTTATTGCCCAGCCATGTGTTTCAATCAAGTGTTACTTTCAGTAAAAATGATAGTGGAGGTCTTTACAGCATGTACTCTTTCTCAGTAAGTACAGACACCATTCATTTCTCCCACTCACAGCGTTATCAATTTAATTTATTTGATTAAATTAATTTGACAATAGCAAATATTGATGTCATAAGTTTCTTTTTAGGCTTTGTCTTGATTTGTCTCAGTTTGACACAGCTGAACAGCAGATATCTTCAGTCAACCAGCATTTCTCAATGGTCAAAAGGGAAAAGTCAATTCAAGTGCAACCATTTGACATCACTACCCAGTGTGTAACAAAATGGTGAGATACAAGTGGCATTTTTTAAAATTAATGAAATATTTTGTGTGGTTTATTACAATGTATTTTGTATTTTAGGGGTTTAAGGTTTTTACATCATTGTAAAGTTAAAACACACTGCGCTGAGCATATTGTACACATATATGTGCAGATTCAAAACACTGAAAATTATATTCTGCCAGCTTTAGGGCTCAGGGCATTTATACTAGAGCCTAAAAATGTTTTACTAAAATTAAGTAGATAGTAGAAATGGAACCAGAATGTCATGAGTGAAAAGTTACTGACAGCTATGACTAGCTAAATGACAGACAGACTTCATGCACTATGCAAAGCCAGATACACATGTTGTCAATACAGTAACACACACAGATACAATAACACAGTTCAGCTCTTCCAGCATGGTCACAGTATGATTTTACATAAACTCACTTGTAAGTTTACTTTAATAAACACGGTTCATGTTTGCTTGCTTATATACAACCATCGTAATAATATACATAATAGACAATGCAGTAAAGACCAAAACACGTTAGCATGTAGAATCACAGAGTGTAGAGTAGAGTGTTGTCCTCTCTTCATAATCCCCAGTGTGGGAGACTTATACCTAGTTAGATATGAAAATGCTGAAAGACAGAAAACAGGACAGGATGATCAGATGTGAACACACTAATCACGGTCAGAAGGGTTAATTTTTTTTAACATTCAAAGAAAGTCTGAAAGTCTTACACGTTAGATTAACTACCAATATAACTAGGAAGTGAAAGAGAAAGCTCATCACAATTTGATTTGATTTTAATACTTCACTGACTGTGAACACAAACAAAACCAGTGCTTTTCAGTCAGCTGTTATAAACAAGTAGGCACAGTTTGTCAATGATAAAACAAGTAAGCAGCTCACACATACAACGACAGTGACACAAATACACAAAAAATACCCAAACACATGTCTGTCTTTATACGCCCCCTCCCACTCACACACACAAACACATAAAACACCTATACCTGTTTTCACATCTAGTTCATTTGCTAATGTCCACACCAGAGTTTGGGTTTTTGTGACATTGTTCAGTTGTATTGAAAATTCGGGCAGCCCTGACCAAATTATTCAAAATCAATTATTATTGATTTTTCAAATGAAAAATGAAAATGTTTCCACAGATACTTTATATTAGATTAACTTAAAAATGGAAAATGAAAAACAGAAAGAAACCAAATTGAAATTTGGGCATGTGCGAAACTCTGGACACTCAAAGAAAAGACGGCCCAGGAATACTGCAAAACTAGAAGTGGCCTGCAAGGAAGAGTGGGTGAAAATTTTTAAAACAAGAACAGAAAGACTCCTAGTTGACTACAAAATCTGCAGACAAACTGTAAAACCTGCTTAAGTGTTACTACGCTAATAAGTATTACCTTTTTTTCACATGCCAGCATTACTATTTTATTGTTTTATTTTATAAGTTAATCAAATATAATGTAGCAGTATGTGAACATTTGCAGATAACAATTTTTAAAAGCGTTTGCTACAGAGGTTGTATTTTTTTTTTCTTTTCACTTCAAATCAACAAATTATGCAGTCAACTCAATCAGAACCTTTCTCATCAGAAGACGAGATAATACATGTGATGCTGGCAGCCAAGCCTCACAGTCTCAACCAAAAAGACCACTGAAGCATAAATATATAAAGCTTTTTTCTGCCTTTTTTTCTAGTGCTAGCAATTCTCAAGATGCTGTAAACCCTCTAGAATCTAATTTGATGTAAAGTCAAGACAAGTTTATCTTTGTTATATGTTGTCTTTTCATGATGTGTTAACTACTCCTTCTTCTGGTTTTCATTTCAGGCAGTTTAATAGTACTATCTGATTTGATGTTGCCTATAGAGATAAATATCTCAAAGGTTTTGTATATTACTTTGGTTCAGTTGTTTTATTTCACTTTGTATATATTTGTATATTTGTATATTGTACATTTTTTGTTTTTTGCACTACTCTTTTTGTTGTAGCTGTATATTACCTGTAAATTAATTTCATGACATATTTCACTGTAAATGTTCACAGTAAAGGTCACCTGAATAGGGTTTGTGTAGAGTAGTCTTACCCCAAAGATCAGCCAAGTTCTTTACAAAACCAGATCTCATCAATGAGTACTGGCAGTTCCCAGTAATTGAGGAAGACATCCACAAGACTGCTGTTTCCAGGCCAGACAGGATGTATGTGTGCCTGAAGATGGTCTTTGGGTTTATGAACAAATGGATGTTGGGGGGAACAGTCATGTAACAAATTTATGTTTTGCTTTGCCATTTTTTCCAATTTGTGATGGTAACATTATATACTTAAATTTGTGCTGTAAAGTAAATGTTATGTGCTTGCCTCTATGTAAGTTTGTACTTAAAAGTCTCTGAAAGTTTGTAAGTCTCTGAAAGGGCAAAGTTTACCTTTATATTTCATTTGTTGCATGTTTGTTTTTGCATTAACTTTCTAAAATGTAGAGTTGATTTGAGTTTTGGGAAGATTCAACATCTTGCAAGGATGAGCAGTACCTGTAGGCAGAGTTGGAGCATTTACGAAAGCAGCAAAAGGAGCAGCTGCTGAGTTCAGTTGGAAATGTCCCAGCTGTGATCAGAGGAGTGCTAAACTATATGTGCTAATTAATAAATAATGGAGGATTGCTGTGTACTGCAGTTGTTGTTGTAAGGGCCCAGTCTCCACCACCAGCCGCCAGCAGAGGGCAACGATGGCGAGGTGCCATAAGTTCAGGGAACTCTAATTCCCAGAAGCCCTCAGGCTGATTAGGCCCAACCTGGCACACCTGTGGACTCCTCTACTTAAGGCTGTGGCAAACAGCAGCCTTTTATCACACTTTTGTAGAGGGGTGACTGGTATGGTACTTAGCCCAGGTGGGTATTTATATAAAAAGGAAAGAAACAAAAGAAAGACAAGAGGCCTGGAAAAAAACAAAAGAAACAAATTACCCCAAAACTACTTAAAAGCCTAAAAAGAAGGCTTAAACAAAAAATGGTTCCAAGCCATACAAAAGGTGTTTGCTCCTCAAAGAGCAAACAGGTGAAACATAGCCCTACCAAGCTAATTAAGGTCTGAGACCTTGGTAAAAGTTATCTGAGAGCTCAAATCTCTTGGTGTTTTTCACTCAAATCATACAAAACAAAAATAAAACACTAACTTTGCTTTAATATTGAAAAGAATGTTTCATCTTCAACTTTATGCTTTTCAGAGATCAGTTTATCTTCTACTCACTGAATTACTCTAGATAGCCTTTTGTTTTAATCAAATTAAATACTGTACCCATTGTCCTTCAGTATTCATCAGGCACTCATTATGTACATACAAAAATTGTGGCTAATCACCCACCAAAAAACAGTCTTTATCAGTGATACTGCAGTCATACAGCCTACAGAGAAAATAAGAAGAAAGTCTCCTCACACAGCTCAACAAACACTTAAGAAAAACGGTATAAAAGAGCAAGAGAGATTCACTGTGCCCTGTTGTTTGTCAGGAGCAGGTTTAACAAACAGTTTATTTAGTTAAGAGTGGAGAAGAAAAAAGAATTCTGGCTAATATTAACATATCGTAGAAATTTCTGACTAATGATAAGCTAAGGAAAGAGACAACAGTTTAAAATTGTTTTTTCACTGTTCAGTAACGCTTTTTGTATGTAAATTCAAATAACTCAATGACTTCATTTACATTTCAACCCCTTAATTATGCAGCAATTTTGAAAAATGAGTGTAATTCCTCTTTAAAATGTAAAGATGATGTATTTCTGTGCCTCAGTTTCCATGTTTACTCTAAAGGCCACAGCATACCGGACACTCCACATCATAACTGAAATCATAAAAACATTCTGTTCTATAGTTTTTAATGAAGGTACACACACCAGTGCTAACATTTTAGTGTCAACGTGAGACGACATTCAGCGACTTCAAGCACTGTTCAAATTTTGTGTGTGCCACAGTGCACTACTCAGCATTTTGCCATTACTGCATTAAAATAAAGCCAGAACCAGACCACAAAAAGTCACAGTAGCTCTTGGTACAACAAATTTACACAGCAAAAGGTAGTAATTCAAATTATTTAAGATACTAAAGACAGACCATCGCTCATCACCTCAGCTAACGTTACAAGTGTAGGCTTTCACCTCATATCTATTTAGCTCTAAAACAGTGAGTGTGTGAAGTTATAATAAATTTATACAAGAGTTTTAAAATGAACGTGTGTGTGTGTGTGTGTGTGTGTGTGTGTGTGTGTGTGTGTGTGTGTGTTTATAGTACTCTGAACTCTCATACAAAACACTGTTCCACCTGATAGGTAGCTTTAGCCCTTTTAAAAATCTCACACAGCAGATACCCTGTATATGTAGATGACAGAAAAACAGAGTGTGTGTGTATGTATATATATATATATATATATATATATATATATATATATATATATATATATATATATATATATATATATATATATATATATATATATAACAATGAAAATAGTTTATGTAGCTTAATTTTACTTCATATTGTTATGTTACAATATTGTTATCTCAAACATGCCAATGAACGTGACTGTTTTGTGTGTGTAGATACAGTAAGTCAGTAACTCACTGTAGTTTCTCCAGTTTACAGTGTGGGTCCTTCAGTAGATCAGAGAGCTCCTTCACTCCTGAATCCCCTAGTTTATTCCGGTTCAGATTCAGCTGTTTCAGCTGTGATGAGGGATTTGATTTCAAAGCTTTAACCAGAGCAGCACAGCCTTTACCTGTAATACTGCAGCCAGACAGCCTGCAGAGAGAAAAAAAAATATGACTTTCACCTAAGTGGTTTAGATATTTGTCCAGCACTGGTCACTAGTAACAAGCAGTCTGCTCTGCACATGAGACTTTCTGAGACAGATAAATGTTCTGTATTGAGGAAAGGTTTGGGAACTACACCGCATCCTACTTATTTAACAGTGTTGTTTGAAGCAGTTAGTAGGAAACAAATGAGAATCTCACATTTGCCAATATAAACCATTTTGATTCTTTCAAGTCTGATGTAACACTGTTTTGACATTAGGCTACCCCTTATTTTTCACATCATGCAGAAGTTCCATTACATTTATATCGGTACTTCAGAGTTAATCATTTATACAGGTACTATAGGTACTGCTGTACAATATAACTTTATTACTACTCAGCAATGCATTTGTCAACATGAACAACATGAGGTACTACATTAATAATGGTGAGCTAATATTAAGTTAATAAGTAATAACCACATTAGTTAATATTGTTTTCACATGTTGACTAACATTTAATGTATTCATTAACATTAATGTGCAATACTACAATAATGGTTAGCAAATATTTTTGGGGTTTAGGTTCAACAACAGAATGGTTTAGCTTCTGAATTGTTTTACTGTTAATCACCCCTCTCACTTTAGAGCTTTTAGCTATTTATTTTAGAACAAAATTATCCAAAAAGAGATACAAAAACAAAATTCAGTTCCTGTACTGATAGATGCTGGATGTAGTGAGCAATACCATTTCAGTTCTGAGTTACTCAGTAAAACCGTGGCTTTTGAACTGATGTGTTTGTACTTCTACTCAAGTTGGTTTTCAGAAAGGTATTTCACTGCAATAACAACATATTTTTACTTGTATACATTGAGGCTACTATACACACCTCTGCACTTAAAGTACTAAGTTAATTATACACAATTATACACAATTATATACATTTGTGTAAATTACATATGTAAATAAATAACATACTTTCAGATGCATTGTGTGCAGGGGTGGAAAGATTACTGGAAATCCCTTCTTAAGTAAAAGTACTTTAATCAGTAAATTAATAGTAAGTAATTTTTTTGTAATTACTCAAGTAAGAATATATCAGTAATTTATTGAAAAACTCAGTAATTTAGGTCATTTTTTGTATATCTGTAACATTGAAACACAGTTTACAATTATATAATTCCAATCTGTAAACATGAACCTAAAGCAAAACTTTTTTAATTAAGGAGAGAATGCTGAGTCTGATCACAGCATGTTCTCCTAGTACACATTTCTGTGTACTGTGTAAGAAAAAAGGTTTACACTATGCTATATATATTTCATGATTAATGATTATATATTATTTCCTAGTGTATCTATTTCCAAAAGTTTAAAATCATAGATATGACGGTTGATTGCTGACTTCAATCAAGTAAGTTAAGATTTCCAAACTTGAGATAAAATAAGAAGCTGTAAGATAAGATTCCTAAATTAAGATCAGATTTGCTTCTGTAATATGAATTTGTGAAAAATCCTATCTTGACCTGTCAGATCTTAGTTAAGACAAAAAGATAATATAGCCAGTGCTCCTAGTTTTTAAGGCTCTAAATGACCTTAACGCACCACTTACATCACAATGTGTGTCTGTGTTCCAACATGTGATCTTAGATCTGCAGGTGGCTAAAATCCATCAGGCTGAATTCTGCTTGCTTTTCACTAACTTCTTGTTTTGAATTTTCCCATTCCACCTTAAATGGTGCGTCAGTTACACTCCTGCTCTTCAGGTGTCATAATACTGTAACTGCCCCACCATTTAAGTTGGAACAGGAAACTGAAGCTGGTGAATAAGAAGCTGACTTCAGCTTCATCAGAGAACCCAAGTAAGTGCTTCTTCTAACCTCCAAACTTAAACTCCCTTTCCACATGATATGAGTAGCATTTTTACTGACATGTTGATTCACACAGGATTAATATTATCTGAAGTAATTTTATTGCTCATGTTACAGAAGGTAAAAGGTGCTGGTATCTTTACTGACACGGGAGCATGCAGTAAAAATGACTCTCAAGACGCATTCAGATGGAACTAAAAACAACTGAGCAATGCCTGTAATATTTACATTACCCCACCTTCCCATGGAAAACTAAACCATGTTAAACCCATCCAAACAGTGCTAAAGTCTCTGATGATGCACCATTGTCTGCAAGGTAAGATCGAAGAGTAAATCTCTGTCAGCGTGCATGTGACAAAAAGGGCTTCATACTCCACCTCAGTGTGGTCAGATTATTGTTTAGCCCAGTAAGACTGAAAAACAAAATGTGAAACAAATTTGAGCATGATGGAATTACTGCCCAGAGTTTATAAGCGAACCTAGATTAGATTAGATTAAATTAGATTTCCCATATCACAGCCTTACACGGCCATGTACCTCAAACTGCAATAAAACAATCCTGGGTAAACTGTAGGTTGCCCAGATTGCAAGCGAATAGTTGGGTCAGGCTGCTCCTGAGATGGACTGTGCAGTTTTGATCATATGCTGGAGAGCCTTCCTGTCCTGAACAGTGCAGCTCCCATATGGTACTGTGATGGAGCAGAACAGAACACTTGATCCTATACATGTAGAAATTGTTGAGAATTTTGGCTGACATGCCAAATTTCCTCAGCCTTCTTAAAGTACAGCCACTGCCGAAACGTCTTGATTTACCATCTCCACCTCAGTCTCACCCATGCAAAGTGGTGTGTCCAGCTCAGATTATTGTCAAGACACCAGGCTACCAGATCTGCCACCTCCCTCCTGTACGCTATCTTGTCCCTGCCACTGATCAGTCCAATAACTATGGAATTCCACTGGTGTTCTGGAAGGCCACATCTACAGCAAGGGACTCGGCACACAGCCCTGAGGGCACTCTGCTTACAGTTCTCGTGCTGTGAAAGTAAAGGATATGAGGTTTTCTAGATGTAATATGAGTAACTCACACTAGTTTCTCCAGTTTACAGTGTGGATTCTTCAGTAGATCAGAGAGCTCCTTCACTCCTGAATCTCCTAATGTGTTGTTTCTCAGATCCAGCTCTTTCAGGTGTAAGGGGTTTGATTTCAGAGCTTTAACTAGAGCAGCACAGCCATCATCAGTAACACGGCAGTCATACAGCCTGTAGAGAAATGAAAAACTCCTCAAACTTAAAGTTCAACATAGACACAGCACAAAACAATACAGAGGAAAGGCATTTATAATCACATATTTAATGTAAGATATGGATCCATTTTTATCAATGTTTCAGTCCACACAGGCTTCACTAGATACACAATTTTAATCTTTGAAGTGCTTTAAGTTTCAAGTCAGTTTTTTTTCACTTACATGCTAATTCAGAGTAACCTCCATGGAAATGCACTGAAATCACACATTCCCACTGTTTATCGCGTTATAACATGTTAAAATTCAGTCTATGCTTATACAATATTTTTGCCTTGCCACAGTGTTTGGAGGCAGCTGTTTTTTACCTGATGACAAAAACAACAGTGGCAAGAACTTGATTGTTGTGGGACACAAGTCTGTTTGTGTCTCTTTTTAATGTGCTGTAAAATTCTTTAAATACCACAGATAAAAATGACAACCGACTGTTTTTCTCAATAATAAAACAAATATGTACAAACATTTTGATTTATGTCTGTGTTCTTTAAACCTCTTCTTGAGGAAGCCCAGTGTTTACAGTTACCATTCAATATCAAGTGTGTCTAAACAATCCATCATTAAATTAAATCAGTTGAGCTAATGGAATTTAATTAATCCAAACTCTGGAGTGCACATTTATATTACAGTCTGGCAGTCCAATCGAGAGGCAGAATTTGCACACTCCCGAGGCAAAGCCTGTCCCATTTGGAAGACAGCTTAAGTCAGGGGCCTTCTAAGGCATTTTGTATGTAAATAATTATGGACTTGAATCTATACTTGGAGATTTGTTTTCCAGCAGAGAGACGCTGGCTGAGGGGCTGAGGAAGAGAAGCTCTTATAGGGAGTGGTGGTGATGGGAACCAGATGTCTACCTCTAAACGTTCCCTCACAGAAAGTTATAAAATGAAATGGTTATGAATTCACTGTGTGCTTTCTGAGACATTTGGTTTATGACAGTACTGAGATGATTTTGGCCTAAAACGTATTTTTAAAATCCATTCATTGTGGAGACATACATGCAGGGCACTGTAAGGGAAAAAATATTCATATTTAAAGTTATTTAAATGAGCTATTTTTTCTGATTTTATCATTATTTTGCCATTTATTATCATGGAACTTCGCAAAAATTTCAAGCATCAACATCATTAAAAACACCATCAAAGGGTCATTAGTGCTTTTGGATAGTAAATAAAATGGCTGTATTTGTGTTGTAGACATGGCAATCATGGGGAGCCTCTACAGCGAACCATTTCACATCAAACCACTCAATGACTTCATTTACATTTCAACCCCTTAATTATGCAGCAATTTTGAAAAATGGGTGTAATTCCTCTTTAAAATGTAAAGATGATGTATTTCTGTGCCTCAGTTTCCATGTTTCCTCTAAAGGCCACAGCACGCCGGACACTCCACATCATAACTGAAATCATAAAAACATTCTGTTCTATAGTTTTTAATGAAGGTACACACACCAGTGCTAACATTTTAGTGTCAACGTGAGACGACATTCAGCGACTTCAAGCACTGTTCAAATTTTGTGTGTGCCACAGTGCACTACTCAGCATTTTGCCATTACTGCATTAAAATAAAGCCAGAACCAGACCACAAAAAGTCACGGTAGATCACGGTACAACAAATTTACACAGCGAAAGGCAGTAATTAAAATTATTTAAGATATTAAAGACAGACCATCGCTCATCACCTCAGCTAACGTTACAAGTGTAGGCTTTCACCTCATATCTATTTAGCTCTAAAACAGTGAGTGTGTGAAGTTATAATAAATTTATACAAGAGTTTTAAAATGAACGTGTGTGTGTGTGTGTGTGTGTGTGTGTGTGTTTATAGTACTCTGAACTCTCATACAAAACACTGTTCCACCCGATAGGTAGCTTTAGCCCTTTTAAAAATCTCACACAGCAGATACCCTGTATATGTAGATGACAGAAAGACAGAGTGTGTGTGTGTGTATATATAAACAATGAAAATAGTTTATGTAGCTTAATTTTACTTCATATTGTTATGTTACAATATTGTTATCTCAAACATGCCAATGAACGTGACTGTTTTTGTGTGTGTAGATACAGTAAGTCAGTAACTCACTGTAGTTTCTCCAGTTTACAGTGTGGGTCCTTCAGTAGATCAGAGAGCTCCTTCACTCCTGAATCCCCTAGTTTATTCCGGTTCAGATTCAGCTGTTTCAGCTGTGATGAGGGATTTGATTTCAAAGCTTTAACCAGAGCAGCACAGCCTTTACCTGTAATACTGCAGCCAGACAGCCTGCAGAGAGGAAAAAAAATATGACTTTCACCTAAGTGGTTTAGATATTTGTCCAGCATTGGTGACTAGTAACAAGCAGTCTGCTCTGCACATGAGACTTTCTGAGCCAGATAAATATTCTGTATTGAGGAAAGGTTTGGGAACTACACCACATCCTACTTATTTAACAGTGTTGTTTGAAGCAGTTAGTAGGAAACAAATGAGAATCTCACATTTGCCAATATAAACCATTTTGATTCTTTCAAGTCTGATTTTTTTTTTTTGTAACACTGTTCTGACATAGGCTACCCCTTATTGTTTTCACATCATGCAGAAGTTCCATTACATTTATATCAGTACTACAGAGTTAATAATTTATATAGATACTATAGGTACTGCTGTACAATACACACTTACTACTACTCAGCAATGTATTTGTTAACATGAACAACATGAGGTACTAGATTAATAATGGTGAGCTAATATTAATTATTAACTTAAGTATTAAGTTAATAAGTAATAACCACATTAGTTAATATGGTTTTCACATGTTGACTAACATTAACTAATGTATTCATTAACATTTAATAATGTGCAATACTACAATAATGGTTAGCAAGTATTTTGGGGGTTTAGGTTCATTCTGTTGTGTTGGTTAAGCTTCTGAATTGCTTTACTGTTAATCTCCCCTCTCACTTTGGAGCTTTTAGCTATTTATTTTAGAACAAAATTATCCAAAAAGAGAAAAATACAATAAAAGACCAAACTGAAGTCTTAGTAGTTGGCCCTTAAACACTGTGTTCCAATTTCTCTGATCTCACTATGAATGTAGATGGTATCCCTGTAAAGTCAGTGAAAACTTTGGATTCATTTTTACATCTTTGCTTTCATTTGAGCCCCATATTAAGGCACTTACTAAGACTGCATTCTACTTGCATTCTCTATGTAATGTTGCACGTATCCACCCTCTGCTCAATAACGTTAATGCCAAAATGCTGGTCAATGCCTTCATTTTCTCCTGCATTGATTATTGCAACTCCCTCTTCACTGGTTTCCCTGCTAAATCCTCACTCTCACCAAACGCACTGCACACATCACTCCCATCCTCCATCAGCTTCACTGGTTACTAATGTCCTCCTGTATCAAGTATTAACTTCTGCTAATGTTCAAAGCCCTACAAGTTCCTACAGACTATATACCTTAGTGAACTTCTTCATCCATACTGTCCCTCTCACTCCCTCAGATCTTCTGGCACAAGACTCTTGACTGTGGGCAGCAGGTCTTTCAGTGCTACAGCTCCCAAACTTTGGAACTCTCTACCACAATCTCTTTGTGACTGCTCTACCCTCTCTTCTTTTAAAGTTCAACTTAAAAACTTCCTCTTCGCTGCTCACTACAATTATCCAAAGTGAGTATTTGTAAAGTGTCCTTGGGTTTGTGAAAGTTGTCAATTAACTTGATTTTGATTTACGTGTTTGTTTCAGCTGGGGTGTGAGGTTGCTTGCTAAGAAACAGGCATGACAGTGGATTGTCAACTTTGATCAAGTAAGTTAAGATTTCCTAACTTCAGATAAAATAAGAAGCTGCAGATTTGCTCCTATAATATGAATTTGTGAAAAATCCTATCTTGACCTGTCAGATCTTAGTTAAGGCAAAAAGATAGGATGTTTCTGTAATACGGCCCCTGCTCCTAGTTTTTCAGGCTCTAAATGACCTTAACAGACCACTTACATCACATAATGTTTGTCTGTTTATGTTTCAACATGTGATCTTAGATCTGCAGGTACCTTCAGTAAAATACAAATGTGGAGAGACTCTTTCTCTTTTTTCATTATTCTGCTTCTAAACTGTGGAGCTCAATTCACATTTTATTGGACAATCTCAGTCACACTTTTAAGAAACATTTAAACATGTATCTCTTTAATTTAGCATTAAATTACCATTCTACATCTCTTAATTTTTCTTTTTAATTTGATCTGTCATTTTTTTAAATGATTAATTTAGAACTCATAGTTTCTTGTTTTACTTTTAAGCTTTACCACCTGTCTGTAAAGCACTTTGAGCTGCCTCTGGCATGAAAAGTGCTCTATGAATAAAGGTTGTTGTCGTCGTCGTCGTCGTCGTCGTCGTCGTCGTCTACCATTCTATCATAAGTCATTAGCTTGGGAATTCACAACAAACAGTCAACACTGCATAAAGTCAAGATCTTTTTTGTAACTTTTTTTACATGTTTTGAGTCGTACACATGGGAATGAACTGTAATGTTACACAGCTTGATTTTAGCCACAGAGAACTATGAACATCCGCCTGCCCTGCTGCTGCGGTGAAGTTGCTTAGAACAGCCCAGACTACATCCTCAGCACTTGAGTATCTCCAGATCCATCCAGGTTCAACACCATCCAGGAGAATTCCAGCTCAACATTTCGAGTCAAGTAAGACAGAGGTTTCTGTTTACATGCTCAGGGGTAGACATTGTTTAATCTGCTAGGTGTAGCCCCTCCTTAGAGTGGCTATGTAGGTGTATGTGTGTGTGTGTGTGTGTGTGTGTGTGTATGTGTGTGTGTATATATATATATATATATATATATATATATATATATGAGAGAAAATTCTGAATATATGGAATGAACCTTGAGAATATGGAATAAAATGTGATGTCATCGAGGCACTTGCGCCATCTTGTTTTTTCGATGTGTGATGAAATCTAGTAGCAGTAATCCTGAATAGTGAGGAGGTAATTAACACCCTGGCGAACGGATGTATGAGCCAAAATAATACTAGAAAGAAACATGCCTTCCACCTCACAGGAGCAGCCCACAAGCAGAGATCAGAAGCACTAGGTCAAAAACCAGTATATGCTGGCTGGGATCTTCTGTCCCTCATGTAGCACTGCATTAAAAACAGACATGATTCTGTAGTGGTAATCACTGCATGGGCTCAGAAACACTTCTGAAAACCACTGTCTGTGAAAACCGTATATAAACAGGATCCAGAAACGCTGCCACCTTCTCTGGGCCTGGGCTCATTTAAAATGGACTAAGGGGAAGTGTCCTGTGGTCTGACAAATCAACATTTGAAATTATTTTTGAAAATCATGGATGCTGTGTCCTCCGTGCTAAAGACCACTCAGCTTGTTATCAGTGTACAGTTCAAAAGCCAGTATTCATGATGGTATAGGGGTGCATTAGCGCACATGGCATGGGTGACATGCACATCTATGTGGCACAATTAATGCTGAATGATATACATGTTTTGGCAGCTGCCATATAGATGACGTCTTTTTCAGGGAAGGCCTTGATTATTTCAGCAAGACAATGTCAAACCACATTCTGCATGTATTACAACAGGATTGCTCCATATTAAGAGAGTCTGGGTTCTAAACTGGCCTCCCTGCAGTCCAGACCTGCCAACACTGAAAACATTTGCTGCATTATGAAATGACATAACAAAGGAGACCCTGAACTGTGGAGCAGCTGAAATTCTATATCAAACAAGAACAGGAAAACATTTCACTTTCGAAACTACAGCAGTGTCTCCTCATTTCCCAAATGCTTACAGAGTGTTGTTAAAAGAAGAGGTGATGAAACACAGTGGTAAAAATGCCCCCGCCCCAACTTTTTTGGAACATGTTTTTGGCATTAAATTTAAAATTGGCATTTTTTTTAAAAAACAAAATTTTTCAGTTTCAACATTTGATATGTTGTCTTTTGTAGTATTTTCCTTTAAAAAATATGGTTTACATGGTTTGCATATCATTACATCTTATTTTTATTTACATTCTGCAGAGCGCCCCACGTTTTTCAGAAATGGGGTTGTATAAAGTCCAGTTTTAGATTATATATTACTCTCTCACAAAACTTAAATTTGGAATTCTGAACTGAATTAAAAGGCAGATACAAAATAATATTCAGATTCAGATGTTTCCATTCAGACTTATAATGTCACAAATCTAACTCCTCAAGTATGTTCTGTGGTTGGTCATTTTGTATGTCAGTCAACTGCCCCTTTCCTGTTAAAGTAGGCAGTTCTTGCACATTAAAATGTACCTAACACTCTGGAGATCTGTAATCTATCCCTCAGAGTTGTCTCACAAAACTTGCAGCTGACAGTGAAATTTTGTTTTATAGTCAATTTTTAAATAGTGAACTTTGTTTTATATGTATAATATTTCAACATCAAGCACTTCAGCCTCTACAGTTGTCCAGTGATGGTCAGTGGATATTAATTGACTAGTCTACTGGTCATTGCAACCCCTATCACATATATAAATTCACTCATACGCACGCACGCACGCACACACACACACACACACACACACACACACACACACACACACACACACACACACACACAATACAGGAAGTAAAAGAGATGAGGGCTTCCAGGAGAAAATATGAGAAACTCACTGTATTTTCTCCTGTTTACAGTGTGGATCCTTCAGTAGATCAGAGAGCTCCTTCACTCCAGACTCTCCTGGATTATTGTAGTTCAGATTCAGCTCTCTCAGGCAAGATGAGCGGGTTGATTTCAGAGCTTTAAACAGAGCAGCCCAGCTTTTCTCTGTAATACTGCAGCCAGACAGTCTGCAGAGAGAAGAACAACTCCTCACACTTACAGCTCAACACACAGATGATACATAATAAAGTAAAACACAGATTTAACACCCACACACTCAATGTTTCAGTCCACACTGGCTACACTAGATGCACATTTCTCATCTGTGGAATATGCAGCCTTTTGTAACATTTTTGGTTTATGCATCAAGGCTGTTTCTTTCTAATGCCTGAATAAAGTGTAATCTCCATTGAAACACACTGAAATCCTGTAATCTCACTTTTCATCCTATTTTATTTACATTCTGCGGAGCAGAATTGTTTTTTAGTAAATAAGTTATACTTACTTCCTGGTCATTTTCATTTCTATTTTCACCTGTTAAAATTACATACAGCTGTGGAGAGTTCAGATCTAAACAACCTGACTGTGATGTTCAGATGCCCTGAAAGCACTTCATTTTCTGGATTAGGTGTGTTACATTTGGGCTGCAGCTACATTCTGCAGGGTGGTAGATCTCCAGGACCTGGATTGAGCACCCCTGCTCAGTAGCCAATTAGAATACATCTGATACATTCAACATGTCCATGTACTTCTTATCACATAAAATACATTTTTTGGTTGAAGAATAAAATAAAATGAACATGTTAACATTCATATTTTCTCATTGTTCTTGGTTTTTACAAAGTAATGACCACTTCTACCGCATGATTGCTCAGATGTTTACTGTAATATTTTTGCTGTAATACATTTACAGCTCTATGTAATTGGTTAGTGTAGGCTTTATACGGTTTTAAGTCTGTATCTAGACTTTCTAGTTTGCGCCATATACTGGAAAGGTTAGCTCTACCTTTGATTTGTGCCCTTTCAACATTGTCAGTGACTCATACTATGTGCCGTATGTAAAAATTGTGGAAATACATTTGTTCAATGTTTTAAATTGAAAGTTTCTGAGCTGCTTTTTTGAGCACCACTTTTCTTACAAACATCATTAACTATTAAACGTGATCTGGAATTGACTCTCTCTTTCACTCACATACACACAAGCACAATACTAAAAGTACAAGAGCTGTGGCTTTCCAGATGTAATATGTTACTCACTGTAGTGTCTCCAGTTTACAGTGTGGATCCTTCAGTAGATCAGAGACCTCCTTCACTCCTGACTCTCCTGGATTATTGTAGCTCAGATTCAGCTGTTTCAGCTGTGATGAGGGGTTTGATTTCAGAGCTTTAACCAGATCAGCACAGCCATCCTCTGTAATACTGCACCATTCTAGCCTGAGGGGGAAAAAGTAAAACTCCTCACATTTACAGCTCAACACACACACACACACACACACACACACACACATACAGTGTAACCTTCATTAAAATGTACTGTAATCCCACTTTTTATGGCATTATATCATTATTGTAAAACTAAACGAATATATGTACAATAATTTTGATGTCTGCCTTGTTGGCATTGTAACGGTGTACGAAGGGAGCTTTTTTTTTTAAAAAAAAAACCTGAGAGCAACAGTGGCGACACTTATGACTGCAATTTTGTTGCAGTACACAACTGTTTGTGTCATCTTATAACCTGCTGTAAAATTGTTTAAATATAAACAAATATTAAATATTAAACAGCTACATACATTGCCCCAAATATTGACACCCCTGGTAAACATGAATAAAACAAGCTGTAAAAACATTCTTTATTGCTAATCCTTCATTCAAAATATTACCAAAAATCTAACCTTTATTTGAAATACAACAATTAATAGAAAAAATAAATCTTATCAAGATCAATTTTTCTCAAATCTGTGTGTGCCATAATTGTTGGCACCCCAGCCTCCGTTTGCAAATATAATAGCTCTAAGCTTCTCCTATAATGCTTAATGAGACTGGAGAAGACATGGCAAAGGATCTGAGACCACTCCTGCATACAGAGCCTCTCTACACTCATAGAATCTCCTCTTGAGTTTATCCCACTGGTTTTCTATGGGGTTTAAGTAAAGTCTGTAATTAGACTACTGCATTTATCTGGAAAAATCTCATGTACCTAATTCATACATGCATGTTCTGCATTATTTCTCTTGGCACTAGTCGACTAGTAAGAGCACTCCCTATCACACAAATCCTTCCTCTCTCTCTTTCTTCAACACACATACTCACAAACACTCACACTAGAGTTGAGGGTTTCCACTTGTAATATGAGTAACTCACTCTAGTGTCTCCAGTTTACATTGTGAATCCTTCAGTAGATCAGAGAGCTCCTTCACTCCTGAATTTTCTAGTTTATTCCAGTTCAGGTTCAGCTCTCTCAGGTGTGAGGGGTTTGATTTCAGAGCTTTAACCAGATCAGCACAGCATTTCTGTTTAATACTGCAGTCAGACAACCTGTAGAGAGAAAAAGAAACTCCTCACACTTACAGATCAACAGACACAAACACACCCACACACAGACAGAAAAACATACACAGAGCACAATACAGAGCAAAGACCATTTCACACCAAAAACGTCTCTGAGGCATTTTTAGTCATCTGTCTAATGGCACTGCAACAGTGTATGGAGGCAGCTGTTTTTAACTGGACACCAACAGTGGCAAAAACTTTTAATTTATAATTTGTAATAATTTTTAATAACATCTTGTAATTTAATTATTTATATTTTGACTATGCCTGTTTTTCTGAGATTTCTGAGCTCAATACATAGCTCCAACTCACTGTGGAGGAAGAAGAACACAAGTATCTAATCAACATGGGAGTGATGGACCTGCCATTGTACCTAATTCTGGGGAGATATCTCCTTGTTCTCAGGGAGCTTCTGTGGAAGAATCACTAAGTCAAAATGAGCAAACTTGGTGACATGAGCAAAAGCCCGGAGGGGCTGTGCTACAGCCTGTGTGAAACCTATGTCAATGTGCCATGAAGACACATTGTCAGTGTCATCTCAAGAAGCACACCAGCTTAAGTGGAAAGTGTCCCAAGACATGACCACCCTTAAACAATCCAACACCACACAGAAGACAATATCATCCTGAGGTGGACGCCACTGGTACTGGTATTTTAGGACCACCCAGCATAAGCTTTTTCTAAAAAGTTCACTCTATCAGTCAAAATACTCCTACTATTGAGAAAAAAAACCTCTTGATTTGTTACTTGCATTAAAACACATTGAAGTTTATGTTGATTTCAAGCTCTCAAAATGCTATTGTGTACACTGATCATAATCCTCTGGTGATTTTGAGCAGAATGTATAATTCTGACCAGCATTTTATCAGGCGAGCTTTGCTCCCTAGATGCTCTGAATATCAGCCTGAGGCCAGGTTTATGCATTCGTTTGTTAGCCTTTAGCCTTTGATCTTTAGATTCTAGTTTTTAGTACTTGATTTTAACTTTGTATCCTGTACTCTTGATATGTAGCTAAAGCTTGTTTCATGCTAATTGCTTGCTGTGGACCAGAATACCTGCTGATTATGTTTTGCATGATCTTGAAACAGTGGCCTTGTTACTGTAAATGATTGCTAGTGTTAATACTAGCATAGCAGTATGTTTTTATTTGTTTTCACCTAAGTGACCCCTGCAGGTTAAACTGTAGGGAGTGGAGTGTAAGAGTAGTATTGTGTATTTATGTACGTATTTACTTTTCAGTTTTCAGGATGAAGCCCCGCGTGGATGGCGGGGAGAGAACCGTGAGTGAGTGGAGGATGGAGCGCAAATCCTGAACGCTGCCAAGAGATGCAAGTGACGGTGGCTAAGCTGCTGGTGATGGAGAAGTGGAGCAATGAGATCTCGTTCCCTCTCATCTCAGGTGCTTGTGAGCACCCTTTAAAAAGAGCACAGAGGGAGCAGAGAGGGAGGGAGGCATGAGCAGCAGCAGCAGCCCGACAGATTGAGTGAAAAACTGAAAAGCTCAACTGAGACAAAGACTGAAAATCCCAGTTGAAGGCCACTGAAAATTGGGCAGCATAGCTTTGATTTTGTTTCATTTGTTGTCTTTGTTTGGTGGAGAAATAAAGTAAAATGGCTGCTGCAAACATTTTTCCTACCTCCAGCATCCTCCTTGAGCCTGGGGTAGCACAACGCACCAAGGGAGTCTCCAAGGCAGAAGAGGAGGCCCTTAAGACCCTCCTACACCTGCACCTGGCCAGCTGGTGGGAGCTGAAGGTGACACTGAAAAGCGATGGAAGCAGCTTGAGGAGCAGAAGGTGGTGAACCGTCAGATGGGCAGGAACCTGTTGGCGGAGCAGCAACCCTTGGTGTGCACGGGGTCAGGAGCCCCCTCTCACCCTACCTGGGAACCCCAAGACTCCGGTCTCAGCTCTGAGAAGGCTTGGGGTTCCCAGGTGGGGTGAGAGGGGGACTCCTGACCCCACTTTTTACCGTCCTATTCCTGCTCCGATGACATTCAGAGATCTCCTTCTCCCTCCTCTCCCTGCTCGGAGGAGGACTGGATCTCCTTCTCCCTCTGTCATCGCTGCAGGGAAGATGGGGATGCTCCTTCTCTCCCCTCCCACTCCCACTCCCACTCCGAGAAGGCTCGGAGTTTGCCCTTTTTTCCCCTCCCCCACCTGCTCGCGAATATGCCGCTGAGGCCCCAGCCTCTGTCTGCTGCCAGCACAGCCTCCCCTGACAGGCCGCTGATGGAGCCCCTACCCAGGCCACGGCTTTGCTCTCCCGCCCTTCCGCCCTGCACTGGGTCTTTCCCAGGGGTTGTTGGCTTAGACCGCGAGTGAGTGGGGGATGGAGCACAAATCCAGAAAACCGCCGAGGGACGTAAGTGACAGTGGGAGGAGGACATCAGCTGCCAGAGAGGGGATGACGACGATGACGGCCACAAGAGGCCCAAACTGTGCTGCTGGGGCCCCATGTCTGCTGCTGTGTATCTGAATGATGACGTCCATGTCTGCAGCCCTAGGTCTTTTTCAAAAGATGATGATGATGATGATGATGATGATGATGATGATGATGATGATAATAATAAAAATAATAATGTAATTTGGTGTGTCTTTTCTCCACAAATAATGACTTTCCATTGTCTTTAAAACAAATGCCAAAGTCAAATTGCGGAAAAGTCAAAAGTAACAGGAATCAGAGAGGATTTTCAGACTTTCATTTTAGATCTATTTTGGGTCAAAACATTGTGATCCCAGAACAGCAGCTTGTGCTTCTTTTCATGTGTACCAAAATGCAGGAAAATATTCAAAACATTTTGAAACACTATGATGTAATGAAACATTATTTGGTCTAGTCATGGGCCTTTTTCATTTTGATAGGGCTCAGTTTTAAATCTGAGTTTCAAGTTTGATCTCACAAACCAAAGCTACTGCAGAGATGCCTATTCTAATTCATTTAGGAACTGGTAAAGTCTTTAGCCTAGACTTTCTGTGAAACACTGATGAGAAGGAATCATACTATAGAAGCCAGAAGGAATCATACTATATTCTCGGTTGTAAGCAGCTTGGTTTAGATACTTTAAAGTCAGAGATTTACGTGTGTAATGAGTCAAACCTCTTCTTTGCATGAAATTCTTAATTCCATTTGAAATACACTAAGAGAAAACATTCAGACACCTTTGTTTTTTAATATATTTCCAGTGTATATATGGCAATTACAGCTTTGAGAAGTTTACAGTAAGAAGTAGAAATTTGTGGAATTTTGTGGAAATTTTTGTATCACTGTGGTTGAATTTTCATTAATTCATCTTGACATACAGTCCATAATTTGCAAGGTTACAAGGGTCCCTCTGTTGGACTGTTGCAATTTTAAAATCCTCAATACATTTTCAGTGGAATTCAGATCAGGAGATTTGCTAAGCCAACTTCTTTTTTAGAAATCAGTGTAGTGGGAACAAGCAATTTAATTCACTTACTATTACTTTTGTTTCAGAAGTGAGTAAAAGGTTACCTCACAGTTAAGGATCTCTTCTCCGGCCATGGCAATTACATTCAACCACACACAAAGCATGGCTCTGGCATGGTGCCAACATCATATTGTGAAAATGGATGATTATTAGAGTGGAATCTTAACTGTGTGTGTTGCTTATTTAAGCAAAAAGAAAAAGTCAGGAGAATGCACTATACTCTTTTAATGTTTGTTGTACAGTAGGCCTGCTGCCTGGATTTGAACAATGAGATATTTGGCATTTGTGGCCCCCAAAAACATCAAAATCCAATTTATTTTACCACTACCACCAACATTGAAAGTTGAGAAACTGAACTTGACCACCGCGGGGCTCCTTGGCATATCTGATTGGCATTGGACAGCCTCCCACCAACACACAAGCACAGAATTAGCAGCCATATTTTCATTTAGATGCATGCCCAGTTCAGTGTTTTAACCTCAGCATACTATTGTGCTGACTTCAAACTCAGTCCTATCCCACTTCCTAAAATAAAATAGTCAACTTCACATAAATAATTCACTTTGGTTAATAATTAATTCCTAAAAAAATATGGACTAATAATTCAGCTGTGGCTGCTAATTGCAAAACAGGCAGCTAATTAATACAGAATGAAATAACTAAATTATTTATTTATTAATTTTATAACAATAACTTCATTGCCCGTACTATCATTATTAATGTTAAAATTAATATTATTCCTATTGATAATAGTATCATTAAAATATAATCATAATATAGTATATTTAATTTCACTGCCTTTTCATAAAAGTAATAACCCACTTGTATTTTTTGCCTTTGTTCCTAATTGCTATTTTCTTGGTCAGAAAGGATCCACGTGCACTGGTAGGTGTAATCGTGAATCAAAGGGGCGTAACATTCAAAATCCAGCAGCATTGTGCTATTTTAAAACCCATATTGATCCAAAATTGCATTTGTGCTACCTCCCAAGATCCACTATTATTGCAAATGGAAGCAAAAAATGTTGTGTTTTTTTTTCTGACTTCAAGCGCAAGCAAAGAAATGAGTCCGATTTCTTACAATGCATGTTTTTGCTCTACTTATACCACTCCAATATAAACCTGGAATTACACCAATTAACTTGTACAACTAATTTAATTATTTTATTCATCACAAGTTGAGGACAAATAGCTCCAGTATACAGACAGATGCGCTATTGCACACTGAACTTAACATAATTTATAAGATCAACAGAATGTCTAAACACATTTTAATAAAGGGCAGTCCTGGTTTTACAATCTGATTGGCAGAGCCAAAATACTCCAAATATACGCGCATATACTCCATATAGTAAACATACACACATATGACCATGCAGATCAGTTGAATTCTATATTAATGCCATTGTGCTACACATTATTTAATCATTGTGCTATTTATGGAATCATCTCCAACTCTTATACTGCTTGACAACTATAGCCCACTGTTAATGAACTATATGGCCAAAGAATTGATTTTACCTACTTTCATTTCCTTTAATGCAGCTTTTTTCAGTGTTTATTCCCTCTATACCATTTATACCATTGAAACACTGTGTAGCATCCAGGCCCCACCCAAAAATAGGAGTGAAGCTTATATTGCAAAAATCATGCATATACAGCTCTAACTCAAACTCATTGACCGACTGTTATGAAACTTCATGTACACTAGGGGGGTTGTGAGTGATCTACAGAGTTTGGTGCAACTGCATTGCTAGGTGGCACTATAACATAAAGTGCTGTTTGACATGGAACTTGACTGCAGCATTTTAAAAGTATAAGACAGCCACATTTATCAAAACAGTTAATTAAGTTAATATTTCCACCACTTTCAGTTGATTCATGAGCCAAAAAATGTTAGGCAGCCAAATATTGTCTGGCATAAGATTTGTTTATGCTGCTACTTTGTCCTGAATCAATGACAATTAAAGTTCATATATATGTACAAATCTTTACTGACATGTACCCGAGGAGAGGCGTGGCCAAAATAGCAATGATGGGCGAACTTGCAAAGAAGCTTGGATCATGCAAATCACTGCTTGCGGCTATATTGTTAATATTATTTTTCTGCCATAAAATGAATCGCTCAGACCAAACCGTAGGTCCTAGAGACATGAAACTTGGTCAATAGGTAGTAGTGCTCCCCACTTTTCAGGAGCACAACATGAGCCCTTCAGCCTAAAGGGGGCGCTATAGCACAGAAAAATGTGTTTTGCCTCATCACTCATAAATCTAAATTTTTACAGACAAAATTTATCTTTTTCCTAATTCAAACAACTTTGCAATTTGGACCATTTAGCTCTGCCCATTTAGATTTTGAGCTCACTTCTAACAATTAAAAAATATTGAAAGATAATATATTCTAAATCCTGTAGGATCATGTATATTGAATCTGCACGCCCTTTCCCCCTGTTTAAGGCCCTCCTGTTTTTACAAATGATGTCCTTCTCTACAGTTTGCAATGTCCCTTGTTACATTTTAATCTTTTTAATGTGGCTCTGTTGTGGCCAGCTGTATGTAGTTAAATGCAGTTGTTTGTTTTATAAAATGACTTCCTTGTTTCTTTTGTTGTTTTACTCCAGTTACCAGAATATTACTGTTGATCTGCTGCACCCCATCATTGTTGAAGACTATTGAATGCACATCCTTGAACCTTCACTACCAATTTTTATGGATTTAAAGCTGCTTTCAAAGTTTTGTCAGAAACCAATCCATGTAGAAGTTTTCTGTAAACACTCAGTATTACTACCTGGACATGGATAGACACCTACAGATATGACATTGCAATCCAGAAGATGTCTGAAGATGCATGCAGAATGCTTTGTTGAAAAAACAATAAATATAGACAAATGTGTCTAATTTGAAGTTTCTTTGTATTGAATCTAGCTTACTTGAAAAACATTATTATTATTATTATTATTATTATTATTATTATTATTATTATTATTGTCATTGTTGTTATTATTATTATTATTATTATTATTATTATTATTATTTGATTTGTTCATTCATTCGTTCATTTGCTAAAAATGTTGAGAGGGTGCCTCAGCAGGTTTTACTGACTTTCCACCAACACTGGGTGCAGAAAATGTCAGTCTGCCCTCTTATGTGTTTTACCTTGGAGATTATTGGGTTTTGAACATATGCAATTCTCTTTCCACCCATTTAAGCTCTACTAGAATATACCACCACATTAGTGATAAGTTACAGCATATTTCATTTTTATTTTAAAATGGTATTCAGATTGAGGCGGCTGTCGGGCTACAGGCCATCTGCAGGGAGCAGCTTAATACGCCATTCAGCGATTAAATTCGTCCAAACCAATGAGGTAACAGAATGCTGCTGTCGCTATGAGACTAACTGGGGACCAAATCCAGACATTCTCCTAGGCTCCTCCAACTCTCCTTCAGCTTTGCATGGAGCAAGGCTTCCGATAAGTGAAAAAACCAACCTCCTTTGAGGTGGAGGCCAGTTTGTTGATTTGTTCTTTTTGTGTTTGTCTAACTAAATATTCACTTTCCTTGATTCTGATTGGAAAATTTAATCTTCATTTCTTTACTTCAAACTAAATCTATGTTACTTGACTGGCTAAATGTTGGACGTCATGGACAAATGTTTCAATTACACTAATAATTACCCAAAGTTTCCCACTATAAAGGACTACACAAGAAATGAATAAAAGACAAAAAGAATAAGAAGTTCTAACATAACTCAAGGGCTACATGAATAATGAGATCCCTTAAGTAAAGATTAAATGGGAGATGAAGTTGACTCAGTTATAAAGTAGTTAATCAAGAAGCCATGTTACCTGTAAGCACATATTTTGGGTCTTTTGCGGGGCGCTATGCTTTAAAAGAGGCCTTTAAGATGGCTGAAAAGAGAGAGGACTGATCACATGTGTGCTGTGATAGTTTGTGTTTTTAAACTTAAGTTCCCCTTTATTAATCCCACAGGGTTAGGTGCCTTGCTCAAGGGCACTTCAGTCATGTCCTATCAGCTCTGAGGAAAAAAATCAGCAACGTTCTGGTCACAAGTCTGGTTCCCTAACCTCTAGCCCACAACTTCGCCCTAACCTCTCTTGTGTTTGGAGTGTGCTTTTTTTTTTTTTTTAGGTATTTTACCAGTACTTATTTTAATTTAGTGTACAAAAGTTTGTCTCTTGTGTTGGGGAAGTGCTGTAGTTTTGGTTCTTTTACTTGCACATTTTTATTTTAGTTTTACCATAGATTGTTTGATTTATTTGGATTTGTTCCAAACAGGTAAGAATCTACTCTGTCTAGTTCCCTAGATCAGAGGGTGGGCACCGCCATGTGTACTTTTTACTGGCCAGGAAAGTGTAGACTAGTTAGCTTTTGTTTCCTTTTTTTTCTTTTAACTAAGTACTTTTTGTTTCACAGTAAGCAAGCCTGGTTAGTTTTGTTCTTTTTTTAGTGCTGTCCACAGTTTGATTCATTCAGTGTGGCACTATGCATCATAGCATACTATTTTGTTGTAGTTTTCTTTTAATAAAATGGCTTCCAAATCTCTATTGACCTGTTCCTCCAGCTATTAATCAATAATTGCCAGTTCAGTCTTTTAATGCCACATGTTACTGATCCCTCAGTGCCCTAGACAAAATGTGAGATTCTAACATCCTTACTAATATACATACCTAATTGCAAATTAAGCAAAAATGAACAAGCATAAATATAAACTTTCAGTTCACAGTTCTTAATTGTTGCTGTATTTAATTAATTGGATATCTTCACTAAAAGTGTATTAAAATGTGTAGAAGCCTTCTCTGTAGAGGATGTATTCACTGATTTTTTTGAAAGAAATAAATAAAACGTAATGTAATTTGAACAGGGATGCTCTAATTTTTTTGGAGGGTGCAGAGCTATCAAAAATGTTTTACACTGGTCTGAACTGGAATGTATAGAGACAGTAAGTCAGTAACTCACTGTAGTTTCTCAAGTTTACAGTGTGGATCCTTCAGTAGATCAGAGAGCTCCTTCACTCCTGAGTCTCCTGGTTTATTGTTTTTCAGGTTCAGCTCTCTCAGGTGTGATGGGTTTAACTTCAGAGCTTTACCCAGTTCAGCACAGCCTTCATCTGTAATACTGCAGTGAGACAGTCTGCAGAGAGAGAAAAAAAAACATGCAATATTTCTTATTTTCATTTCTATCTGTATGTTTTTTTTTATGTCTGTCGATGCTGTTTAGTATGTCTATGTGCAGTTGCCTTTGTTATATTTATGTATATTTTGCACATCGTAGCTGGAGATACGTAATCTCGTTCAGCTGTGCACTCCTTGTTGTATAGTGTGAATTACAGTAAAGCTCACTTTGACTTAATTTGAAGTAGAAAATACATAAAATTGCCCCCACACACTTAAACTTGATTTTTGATTTAATAAATCTTGAAATCATGAAATTTAACAGTGTGAATACTGAGAGTGAACATAGCGGACAATTGTCGCTTAGTTTTAAACAGATCTCTAGTTCTAAAGTGCATAAAGCTCTTAAGCTTTTAGACACAAATAAAACAGCAGGACATGATAATATAGATCCATTGTTTTAAAAGCTAGTGGCTGATGTTATTGCAGCACCTATAACTTATATTTTTAATCTTTCATTAGATACACATGAAATTCCATTGATCTGGAAATCTAATTTTATTGTTCAACTGTAAAAAGGTCCTACAATGTTGAATAATTATAAAGCTATTTCTAAACTTTTGGTGTGTGGTCTCTCGCTGGCCATATGATAGACCCCTCCAACTCTCCTTCAGCTTAACATGGAGCAGGCTTACAATGAGAAAAAAACAAAAACAAAACAAATAGACTAACAACACATAGTTTAGCAGATTTGAGAATAACTGTTCAAACAAAAAGGTGGAGCCAGGGCCCTGATTTGTTCTTCTTACGTCTGTCTGACTAAATATTCACTTTCCTCTGTTTTGATTGGAAGAGGTAATCTTTATTCCTTTACTGCAAACTAAATCTATGTTGTTTGACTGGCTAAATGTTGGATATCATGGACAAACATGTCTTAACTACACTAATAGTCTGGACCACTATTTCAAGGCAGAGAAATAGAGCAAGAGACAAAAATCATTTTGGCTACACATTTCATAATTCATAATAGGGCATTAAGACCACAATACTACCTGCAGTCCTGTTAGCATAGGACAGAGACAAAATGATATAAATATGCACTCATAAGTATCTGAATAATGACTCTATACAATCCTACAATCTTACAACATGGAGTACCCAAAGTTTCATACTATAAAGGACTATACAAGAAATGATTAAAACACAAAGAGAATAAGAATTTCTAATGTAACTCAAGGGCTATATGAATCAGCTAACATAATGAGATTTCTTAAGTAAAGATTAAATGGGAGACAAAGTTTCCAGATGTTTCTGTCTATCCTTCCAATGTGAGAAGACAACTCAGTGCTATGAGTCTGAAAGGATGTGTAGTTGTCAAGAGGCCCTTACTAATACATACCTAATTGCAAGATAAGCTATCTCTATAATAAGCTCTATTTTTTGCTGAATTTAACTAATTGAATTTGTTTTATTTTCAGTAAATGTATTTTAAAATGTGCAGAAGTTTGTCCTCTGTAGAGGATGTATTCACTGATTTTCACACAGGAAATTGACAAAACCTAATGTAATTTAAACAGGGATGTTATAGTTTTTTTTGGGCAAAGCTATCAAAAACTTTTCACATTGGTCTGAAATGGAATGTACAGAGACAGTAAGTCAGTAACTCACTGTAGTTTCTCCAGTTTACAGTGTGGATCCTTCAGTAGATCAGAGAGCTCCTTCACTCCTGAATCTCCTGGATTATTGTCATTCAGATTCAGCTCTCTCAGGTGTGAGGGGTTTGACATCAGAGCTTTGACCAGATCAGCACAGCCTTCATCTGTAATACTGCAGCTAGACAGCCTGCAGAGACAAAAAGAAAAAACTCCTCAGACTTACAGCTCAACACACAGACAAAGGGGACAAAGTTGATTATAAAGTAGTTACTGTTATCGAACCACCCTTCAAAAATAATTAAAAAAAAACTATACAGAGAATTATTTTGAATGTATGTATGGAATCTCTATCAACATTACTTAACTTGAAACAATAATCTGATTGGGAGCTGTGATGACCAACAAATAGTCAATAGTTGTTATTTAACAAGAATATGAGCTCCTTTGAAAACATGTTCATCAATGAGGAGGGGTACAACAATTCCCAAGCTGGACACTGGAGGGCACTGTTTTGTCCTGAAAGACACAGTTAATTTTTTTTTTTTTTGGCAATTTCTGTCCTTCTCACCAAAACTTTGCAGTTGGTGGCAGTTATGAATCAGTGTTTATTTTGGAAGTCCAGTATCTTAAAACTGGCAGAATCTTTGCCAGCCATGGTGGTTCTGCTTGCTAAAGAGAAATCTTTATATATTCCTGCTGAACTTATGGCTGGAAATGTTTTCTCTAGAGGCAAGGAGAAGAGTTTTTCAAAGGAAGGTTGCAAGAGACCCTCATAAATGACAATGAGATGGCTGTGCATGTCACCTTTATCCCACCTGATGGTAATTTCCCAGATCCTCTGGAGCCAAAAGGGATCAGCTTTGTAGGTGATGGAGGTTTTTATGAACAGCCAGTCCTTGGAGATAATTTGGGGTCCTCTGTCTTCATTATACTAGTCTTAAGTTGTTTTTGCTGTATGTTTGGGATCATTATCTTGCTGAAATATTTATCTTCTCCTATTGCTTGGCCATTAAGATTAAATTCTCTTATGCCCTGGCACATCACTCCATTCATGTTTTCTTTAAAGAGGTGCATTGCCCCAGTAATGTTTGCACCATTTGCGGAGAGACAGCCTCATATGATCTGTCCACCTTTGTACTTCACTGTGGTTGGTTTTGGAATCATGCGCACAACCCTTTTATTCTCCAGACAGGATGAACTATTGACAAAGATATCTATTTTTGTTTAGTCTGACCAGAGTACATTGTTGCAAAATATTTTAGATTTCTGTAAATGCTTATTTATAATGTTGGACACAACATAGCACAGGTCAAATTTGCAGTGCAGTGCTTTGCTTACTGTTCTCTGTGTAATTGTTGTTCCTGCTGCTTTCAGCTCAGCCTGCAATTTTTTCAAGTGACTGTTGGATTCTCACTTACAGTCCAATGATTAGACAGAATTCTTAAATATTTTTTAAATATATCTTTGTTTATGCATTTGAAAACATACAAAGAGCTAAATAATTCACTGTAAATTTGAAGTGGATACATACACTGGAACTATTAAATAACAAAAGTAGTCAATAATTGGATAAAGAAGGGCAAAATAAAAAGAAAAGTGAAAAAGCAGATTTCAAAACTTGATCAAAAACTGATTAAAAGCTACAGAGAAAATGGGCCTCCTAACAACCACCTGCAAGACCTGGTAGACACCAGAACTGTCCCCATCAGATAAACAGCACTTAAAGCTTTCATCTTTTGAGAGAGAGAGGAGAAAATCAAGCTGCTTCAGATCTGAAATCATCCTCAGGTGTTTCTGTGCATCCTTTCACTGTGAGAAGACGACTCAGCACTATGGGTCAGAAAGGATGTGTAGCTGTCAAGAAGCCCTTACTAATATATACACACCTAATTGCAAAATAAGCAACAAGGAAAAACCATAAATATTAACTTTTAGTTCACAGTTTCCCTTTGTTGCTGAATTTAACTAATTGGATTTATGTTTTATTTTCAGTAAATGTGTATTTAAATGTGCATAAGTGTGTTCTCTATAGAGGATGTATTAACTGATTTTCACATTAAAAAAATGAACAAAATGGAATGTGATTTAAACAGGGGTGTCATATTTTTTTGGGCAGAGATATCAAATTTTTTCAAGTTGGTCTGGACTGGAATGTATAGAGACAGTAAATCAATAACTCACTGTAGTTTCTCGAGTTTACAATATGGATCCTTCAGTAGATCAGATAGCTCCTTTGCTCCTGAATCTCCTGGTTTATTGTAGTTCAGATTCAGCTCTTTCAGGTGTGAGGGGTTTGACTTCAGAGCTTTAACCAGATCAGCACAGCCTTCAGTTGTAATACTGCAGTCAGACAACCTGCAAAGACACGAAGAAAAACTCATTTACAGCAACACACATAGAATTTAATCTTACAGTATGAAACAGTTCCAAACTTCTGTTTCACTTTCTGCTGTGTGTCTGCACTGATATCAAAACAGTAGAAAAAACATAAAATTGCCCCCACACACTTACTTTTACTTGATCTTTATTTGATGCATTATATCTTGAAACTCTGATATTTAACTCTGTGAATACTGACAGTCATCATATTGTAAATTCACAAACAAAGTCACTTAGTTTTAAAGATATCATTAGTTCTGAAGTGCGTAAAGCTCTTAAGCTTTTAAACAAATAAATCAGCAGGACGTGATAATATAGATACATTGTTTTAAAAGCTAGTGTCTGATGTTATTGTAGCACCTGTAACTTATATTTTTAATCTTTCATTGGATACACATGAAATTCCATTGATCTGGAAATCTGATTTTGTTGTTCAACTATAAAAAAAAAAAGAGCTCAAGGATCTCTTGCTGGTAATATGACAGACCGCTTCAACTGTCCCTCAGCTTATCAGCAATTTCTGTCCTTCTCACCAAAACTTTGCAGTTGGTGGCAGTTATGAATCAGTGTTTATTTTGGAAGTTCAGTATCTTTAAACTGGCAGAATCATTCCCACCATGGTGGTTCTGCTTGCTAAAGAGAAATCTTTTTGGATTCCTGTTGGATTTACAGCTGGGACTGTTTTCTCTATGGGGAAGGAGAAGAGATTTTCAAAGGAGGGTTGCAAGAGACCCTCACAAATGATAATGGAAATGGCTGTGCATGTCACCTTTATCCCACCTGATGGTAATTTCTCAGATCCTCTGGAGCCAAAAGGAATGAGCTCTGGAGGTGGTTGGGTTTTTACAGATAACCAGTGCTTGGATATAATTTAGAGTCCTCTGTCATTATTATAGGGCAGCATCGTGGTGTAGTGGGTAGTGCTGTTGCTTCACGTTAAGCAGGGCCTGGGTTTGATTCCTGGCCATGGAGCCAGGGTCCTTTCTGTGTGGAGTTTGCATGTTCTCCCCATGTCTGTGTGGGTTAAGCAGCTTAGCATCTTCTCCCATTTCTTGGCCAATAAGATTAAATTCTCATATAATATGCCCTGGTACATCATTCATGTATTCTTCAATGAAGTGCAATGTTTGCACCATTTGCAGAGAGACAGGCCCATATCATGATGCATCCACTGTTGTACTTCACTGTGGGTGGTCTTGCTCAGCCTGCAGTTTTTTTCAAGAGACTTTTGGATTCTTTCTTACCTTCTTTATGATTACAGAGAAATCTTGTATTATTTTTTAAATATATCTTTGTTAATGCTTTTGAAAACATACAAAGTGCAAAAGAAATCATGTGTGCAAATTTGAAGTGAATAAACACAGTGGAAGTTTATTAAATAAACTGTGTGAAGACAATTCAGCACTATGGGTTTGAAAAGATGTGTAGCTGTCAAGAATCCCTTACTATTATAATAATATGTACCTAACTGCAAAATAAGCTACAAGGAACAAACATAAATATAAACTTTTAGTTCACAGTTCTTATTTGTTGCTGAATTTAACTAATTAGTTATGTTTTAGTAAATGTGTATTAAAATGTGCAGAAGTGTAGTCTCTGTAGAGGATGTATTTACTGATTTTTCACATAGAAAATTAAAAAAAAAGTAATTTTAAGAGGATTGCTCTAGTTTTTTGGCAGAGCTATCAAAAACCTTTACACATTGGTCTGGACTGAAAAGTATAGAGACATTAAGTCAGTAACTCACTGTAGTTTCTCAAGTTTACAGTGTGGATCCTTCAGTAGATCAGATAGCTCCTTTGCTCCTGAATCTCTAGCTTTATTCCAGTTTAGGTTCAGCGCTCTCAGGTGTGAGGGGTTTGATTTCAGAGCTTTAACTAGACCAGCACAGCCTTCATGTGTAATACTGCAGTCAGTCAGCCTGAAGAGAAGAAGAAAATCACTTACAGCTCAACACACACAGGCTTTAATCTCACAGTATGAATTGGTTCCAAACTTGTTCTGTGTTTTATTTTGTGCTGTGTGTGTTTTTCCATAATATCAAATAAATAGAAAATACACAAAATTGCCCCCATTGTGAATACTGACAGTGATAATAGTGGAAATGTATCACCTTAGTTTTGAACAGATCTCTAGTTCTGAAGTGCATACATTTCATAACACTTTAGACACTTAACAGTACTTTATGAAAGTGATGTATGTATGGGAACATATTTACATTTTGCTCATAATAATTTCCAGGGATGGCAATAATTGTGACACATATTATAATAGGCTTCTAATAATAATCATTGACATTATTGGGTGTAACAGTCATTTTCACTGTGATGCACTCTTAACAGTAGTCACTGATTTTGAATGTAACTGACTGATTTTCATAGATCTATTTCTATTGTTACTCTCATAGACCTCCAACAGTAGTTATTGGTTCTAACTGGATACTGGATACTTCTGTATAATGACAGACTGTTTTTACTTTCTATTTATTTAATTTTTATTTTATTTATTTTTTTATGTTTAATACTGTATATAATTTATAAAATATTGTATATTAATACAATAGAAAATCTTATCCACTGTTCATATTATTTCTGTTCTCATTTTATCTGGTGTTGACCAGAGGATGAAGGGTTCTCCTTTTTCAAAGTTTCTTGATTTTCTTCCTCTTGCTCTTGGACCCAGATTTTCTGTAAAGCTGATTGTGTTGTACAAAGCCATATATAAATAAACAGCCTTGACTCAACTTAGTTTTGTTATTATGTAAATATAAAGTTATATGTCAAGATTAAGCTAATTATCCACAAAGATATATTTTCATGGTCTTTTATTACCCATTTTCACAGAGGGTGCCAATACTCATACAGCTAACTGACAACTAAAGAAACATTGAGATAACTTACCTTTAAATGGATATATGGTAGATGTTCAACACTATGCATTTCAGCTAGAACACTGAAAACAAGTAAAATACAGTAGTGTCAGAGATCCTAAATCTACAGTGAGAACGTGATGACCTTACTTAAGTTTCTCCAGTTTACAGTTTGGACTCTTCAGTCCTGCGGAGAGCTCCTGTGCTCCTGAATCCAGCAGTTTATTTTTACTCAGGTCTAGTTCTCTCAGACTTGAGAAGTTTGAACTGAGAGCTGAGGCCAGATCTTCACAGCTTTTCTCTGTGAGATTACAATCACACAGCCTGGAAGAGAAATGCTTTTCAGAGTCATTGTTGGAGATCAGGGAGAGAACAATATTATGATGAATTATGATGAATTTTAAGTTGGATTGAAATAAATTTCTGAATGCTGATCTGACGGTCCAGACAGAGGCTGCATATCAAATATGGATTCGGTTTTATTACTGGTGTGAACAGATCATGATTTTTTTAAGGCTGAATCAGATTCTGATTTCTTTACAGCCAAATAGGCAGATCACTGATTTTTATCAGTTAGCACCTGGCTGCAAAGACAACAATGCTTTTACAATTGTTATATGACAATCTCACATTATGCAGCCTAAAAGAGCACAATAATTTAAAACAGAGATGCACAGACCTGCATGCACCTAAGACAGAGCATTCAGAGGACGATATTTTCACAGCATGCATGTCCTATTAGCATGGTCCTTACCGTCTTTACAAATAGTGACACAGTAAAATATTTATTAATGTAAATACTTACACTGCTTTTCTGGATGCTTTGACCACTGGCAGCAGTCTCAGAAGACATTCCTCTGATGGGTCATATTTTCTCAGGTCAAATTCATCCAACTCCTCTTCTGAGTTCAGTAAAATGAACACTAGAGCTGACCACTGAGCAGGAGAGAGCTTAGCTCCGCTTAGACGTCTGTCACTTCTTGTGTTCAGGTACATTTGTACTTCCTGCACTAGAGAATGATCATTCAGTTCATTCAGACAATGGAACAGGTTGATGGATTTGTCTACAGAGGGATTCTCCATGAGCTTCTTTTTGATATACCTGACTATTTGCTCTTTTCTGTTTGAGCTCTTTCTTGTTTGTGGAAGTAGCCTTCGTATGAGAGTCTGATTGGACTCCAGTGAGAGGCCAAGAAGGAAGCGGAGGAAAAGGTCCAGATGTCCACTCTCACTCTTTAAAGCCTTGTCCACTGCACACTTGAGAAAGTCAGACATTCCAGGCTGTTTTAAGGAACGAAAAAGTCCAGTAGCTTCTTCCAGCAGCACATTTTTGCTGTCAAATATAAAGGTAAAAAATGCATATAAAGCAGAAAGAAATTCTTGAACACTCAGATGAATAAAGCTGAAAACCTTCCCCAGGTGCAGTGCAGACTCTTCTCTGAAGATCTGAGTACAGACTCCTGAGTACACTGACACTTCTATGAGATCAATGCCACACTCTCTCAGGTCTTCCTCGTAAAAGATCAGGTTGCCATTTTCCAGTTGTTGGAAAGCCAGTTTTCCCAATGCTAAAATCATCTTTCTTGTCTGATGAGGATCAATGTCACATTTTACTTTGTATTTCTGGCTGCTCTGTTTGATCTGGAAGTTCAGGAAGTATGTGAACATTTGAGTCAGAGTCTTTGGGATCTTTTCACTCTCTGCTTCACTCAACATCTCCTTGAGCACAGTGGCTGAAATCCAGCAGAAGACTGGTAAGTGGCACATGATATAGAGGCTTCTTGATGACTTTATGTGTGTAATGATTTTTTCAGCAAGGCTCTGATCACTGATCCTTTTCCTGAAGTATTCCTCTTTCTGAGGGTCACTGAATCCTCTTATTTCGGTTACCTGGTTAATATACTGAAGAAGGATCTGATTGACTGCTGCTGGTCGAGTTGTTATCCAGAGAAGAGAAGAACTCAGCAGCTTTCCCTTTATGAGGTTTGTCAGCAGCACATCTACTGAGACTGATTCTGTTACATCAGATAAAATGTTGTTTTTCTTGAAATCCAGAGAAAGTCGACACTCATCCAGACCATCTAAGATGAACACGACTGTGTAGTCAGCACAGTCTATTAAGTCTTTTAATCGAAATTGTTTCATTGGTGGAAAAAAGAGGTGAAGAAGATCCATCAGACTGAGATTTTTGTCCTTTATCAAATTCAACTCTCTAAAAGGAAGTGGAAATATGAAGGTAACATCCTGATTTGCTTTTCCTTCAACCCAGTCCAGAATGAATTTCTGCACAGAGACTGTTTTACCAATTCCAGCGATTCCTCTTGTCAGCACAGTTCTGATGGGTTTGTCTTTTCCAGGTATGGGTTTGAAGATGTCATTGCATTCGATTGGTGTCTCTTGTTTTGGTCGCCTGCTGAATGTTTCTGTCTGCTTCACCTCATGTTCGTTATTGACCTCTCCACTCCCACCTTCTGTGATGTAGAGCTCTGTGTAAATCTTATTCAGAAGTGTAGAGTTTCCATCTTGTGACACCCCTTCATTTATACTTCTAAATGTCTTCTCCAGTTCAGATTTGTGTGCTTGTTTACACATAGTGATGTCTTCTGATAAGCAGACACAGACAAGAGCAAAAATATTCAGATTCAGAAACGATTCAGAAACATTGGTACAGAGCAAGAAAAGACTGGTAAAGTTCACAACTAATGAGGTTGATTAGCAAAAGGTTACTAACATAATTGGGCATATAAAGAGCAATTCAGAGGGGCTGAGTCTTTCAGAAGTAAAGATGAGGAGTGGTTCACCACTCTGTGAAAGACTGAATGGCAAATAGAGCAGCAATTCAAAAATAATGTTTCTCAATGTACAATACCAAAGAATTTGGGGATTTTATCATCTATGGTACATAATAACATTAGAAGATTCAGATAATCCAGAGAAATCTCTGTATGCAAGGGACAAACAATGCTGGATGACCGTGATCTTTGGGCTCTCAGACAGCACTGCATTAAAAACAGATATGATTCTGTAGTGGAAATCACTGCATAGACTCAGGAACATTTCTGAAAACCACTGTCTGTGAACACCTTTCATCTCTGTGTCCACGAATTCAAGTTGAACTCTATCATGCAAAAGAGAAACCATATATAACAGGATCCAGAAATGCCACCCCTTCTCTGGACCCAAGGTCATTTAAAATGGACGTGAAGTGGAAATGTGTCCTGTGGTCCAATGAATCAAAGTATAAAATTCCTTTTCGGAAATCATGAATGCCACATCCTCAGGGTTAAAGAGGAGAGGGACCATCCAGCTTGCTATCAGCGCACAGTTCAAATGGTATAGGGGTGCATTAATGCACAAGGTATGGATGACTTGGACATCTGTGAAGGCATCATTAATGCTGAACGATATATACAGGTTTTGGAGCAACATATGCTGCCATCTAGTCTTTTTAAGGGAAGGCCTTGCTTATTTCAGCAAGACAATGCCAAAACACAATGTACATGTATTACAACAGCATGGCTGCATAGTAAAAGAGCCTGGGTGCTAAACAAAACTGCCTGCCTGGTAAATATAAGAGTGAAATGTCTATAGAATATTAAAGTTACACCATTTTGAAACATTGCACAATAAGCAGATGAACTGGTAACAAGTGAGGGTATCATGATTGGGTATAAAAGGAACACCCACCAAAGGCTCTCTTTGCAAGCAAAGATGAGTTGTGGCTCACCACTTTGTATGAAACTTCATTAAAGAATTGTTAAACAATACACAACATTTCTCAACATAAGATTGCAAAGAATTTAGGTCTTTCACCATTGATCGTACATAATATTGTGAAAAGTTTCAGGAAATCCAGAGAAATCTCAATTCATGTAGAGCAAGGCCCAAAACCATTGTTAAATGTGTGTGATCTTCGAGCCCTCAGAAGGCTGTGTTAAATATAGCCACACGGGCTCAGGAGTACTTCAGAAAACTGCTGTCACTTAACACAGTCCATTGCTGCATCAAAAAATGCAACTTGTATGGCTTTGTCATTTATCCTTCATCAATTATACAGAAACCCTGCCAAATTCTCTGGGCCTGAGCTGAACTCAGATGGTCTGAAAGACAGAGGAAAATGTGTCCTGTGATGAGATGAGTCCATGTTTCAGTTTGTTTTTGGGAAAAACTTTGGTTTTAAACATGTTGAGTTCTCTGTGTCCTTTGGGTGCCCCATGGGACCTTCCAGACGAAAGGGACCTTCCAGATTTCTACCAGCAAAAGGTGCAATAGCCAACATCTGCCATAGTATGGGGGTGCATCAGTGCCCACGGCATGAGCAACTTTCATATATGTGAAAGTTCCATTGGTGCAGAGGCACATACTCGGATTTTAGAGCAATAGATATGTTTACAAAATACAAAGAAGTTAGTCAGTGAAAATACTGGAAATATTTGTACTTCTGTCAGTTAGATAAAAGTCAAGAGAATCTAGGTTTAGAAAAGTTCAACAAAGAGTCATGTTTTTACTGCATTTTACAAAGTGTCCCATTTTTTCTGGAAACAGGGTTTTACAGAAAGACATTCAGACTTACCTTCAGTGAGAACAAAAGTACCAGGGGAGCCTTCAGCCTGAGCTGAGCTCCTGCTGGAAGTGGAAACTTCTTGAGCTGGAGGGGAGATAAAGAGAAATTCAGAACTTAGTAACAATCTCTACAAATTCCACATCCATAAGAATTTATAAATACATTTATAACACACTATAACATTCATAAGACTTTATAAACAAGGTTATACAGATATATAAAACTGCATTATACATTTATTATACATCATAAATGGTTAAAATAATACTGTAAGTTGTGTTCATATCATATTATATTGTCAGTGCCAAAGAAAAGCTTGCATTATCAACATATATTTTGATTATTATTTATAGGCCTACTATGAACCCATTATAAGAACTGGTTGTGTGTTAACGTATGAGTACTGCTGTTAATTATATTAACAATACATAAACATGGCTAGGAAGTGTAATGTATTCTGTTACATGATGTTTTTCTTCAGTAGTTTTTGAATGATTGGTTGAAAGTTTTAAGGGTCTCTCTATTTACAGTTATTGTTGAGGTCTTAAAAAAAGATTTCTAGTCTTCTGCTATGGCAAGCAACAGATACGATAAATAAGGCAAAGGAGTTCAGTATAGTGTTAACTATATTACATTTGCATAGCTCTTGAAAGCAATAAACTGGACAACTGTACACTTTCACTCTCCAAGCATTTAGTCTCAGTGTAAGCACAGATAATAAGGTCACCTATAATTTTCATTTTGTTTCAAAAAACAGTGCAGCTCTCCTTTTGAACCTGTGTTAAGTCAAATTCTTCATGAAAAAGTCTGCTTTTGATTTTTTTTTTTCTAGTTTTCATTTAATAATTTGACTTTACAAGGAGATTGCTTTACTTTAATATATCAAAGCTTTGATTTAGGTTACAGTTATATTTTGTAACAGTTAATCAGTAATTTGAATAAATGTTTAAAGTAACTCTCCAACCAAACTGCGCTTTTGTCTATTTACCAAGGAACTCTGCACGTTACAGTGGTTAAAGATGATCCACAGCTAAACAGATATTTAAAGATGATAAAAGTCAGTGTTTCAGTCTGGAAGACTAGAAACATGACCTGTGGAGTTAAACATATAAACAGAAAGAAACTGGCATTTGTTTTTGGGATGTGAAGGATCCAGAAAACAAAACCACCATCATCTCAAACACTGCTTGAAAAAATAAGACACCTAAGTCTCTTCTGAGGCTTTTTTTGCTGTTTCAGCTTAGGTAGTTGACTAACTTTATCAGCAGTACACAAAAGCACTACCAGTCACTGTTAACCCTTTCCCAGGGTTGCTAGTTTGTTTACAGGAATTAATGTATCTGTAAGTCCCTGATAGACATTTTGTGACAAATCTAGATGCCTCAGGTGAAAACTGGGTGGGAGGTGATGACATATACTGCCCTGACTTTTGTGTAGAATTGAACCATTTAGACTTTAGTCTACCTCATCAAGAATCTAAATTGTATCAGGATGCATGCATTGTTTATAATTTCTGCATCAGTTGTAAAAGAGAAATAATAATACTGACTTATTTGCACTGGTCAAACTTTATTTAAACACAGTGAGTGTAACTAATTGTGATTTATTCACAAAACAAGCATGTTTAAAATATGTAAACACATGTATTCTCATCTAATTCCAGTGCCTTACAGCTGTGTGAATGGATTAGGCAGCATCTACATTATAACCATGAACACACATGATGGAGGAAATTGACAAGCCAATGCTCCATATTTGGGTGTTTTGTAGCATAGTTAGCTAATAATCATGTAATGCTTTTACATATATATATATATATAAGGTAGTCAAGTTAGCAGCTTTGCTAAAAATGCTGCTGGTCAACCACACCAATTAAAGAGTTTGCTTTAACTCAGTGTGCTCATGCCTTAACAAACCCACCAGTCATTCTGCTTTTGCTTATATGCTTATATTTGCTTCTATATTTTTGCTTAAGCAAATATCATCATCATCATCATCATCATCATCATCATCATCATCATGGGGAACGTGAGGTATCTCAGTAATAAGGTGGACAAACTAAACACACTGATCGGGATCCAGCAGAAGTATTGGTATTGCAGTTGTGCTGTGTTTCTCCAAGACATGGCTTCGCTCTATTATTCTGGACTCTAGCGTTTCAGTTACCATCTATCAGATCATGATGGGGGACAGAGACACTGATCGGAGTGGTATGAAGAAAGGTGAAGGAGTTGTGCTGTTAGTGAATAACAGATCCAGGACATATTACTGTGAAGGAGATTCACTGTTGCCCCAATGCTGTTGGTTTACATCTCTACTATCTGCCAGCGGAATTCATGATAACCATTATTGTTATTGTTTACATCCCGCCAGCAGCTGACATGGAAGTGGCATGTGATGTAGTACTCTCGGCTATTGCGAGACTTCAGACTTGGCATCTGAACTCTTATTGCGATCCCTGGGAATTTTAATCATTTTTAACTCTCCACCACTTTACCAAAGGTCCACCAGTTTGCTAAATGTGCAACCAGGGAGAACAGAGTGATGGATCTTCTGTATGCAAATGTTAAGGATGCTTACAGTTCATCTGCCCTCCCTCCACAGGGAAGATTGGATCACAGCCTGGTTTTACTAACTCCCACATACTGTCTGTGCTCAAGACAACTGGTGACAAGACAATCAGGAGGTGGTCACCTGAGGCAGAGGAGGCTCTGCAGGTCTTATGGTCTTGTGTGAATCAGCTGGTGGAGACATTAATATGATTACAGACTGCATCACTGAGTATATCAATTTCTGCACGGACAGTATTGTTCCAGCCAGGTGGGTGCGTTGTTGTCGCAACAACAAACCTAGGATCACCAAGGACCTGAAGGAATTGTTGAACAAGAAGAAGGCTTTTAGATTGAGGGATAAGAAATCATCCCTCAACCTGCAGAAAGAGATGAGGGTGAGGTTGAGGGAGAATAGGAAGGCCTACAGAAGGAAGCTGATGGGAAGACTTCAGCAAAATAATGCAAAGCAAGTGTGGGCTTGTATGAAGATCATTGGCTTCAAGACTAAGCAACAAACTGTGTGGGGCAGTTTGGTCACAGCCAATGACCTGAATGTATTCTTTAACAGGTTCAGCATTACCCCATCCCCCTCCATCAGCAACACCAACCCCCTCCCCACTCCCTCACAATCTGCATGTCTTCCACACCCCTATTGACACCCCTCCCCACAGCCATTGTCTGAAGACTTGCATGCCCTCCCTTGAGGTGACAACCTGCCAGATGAAGAGATAGCTGGAGAAGCTGAAAATGAGCAAAGCTGCTGGACCGGATGGGATCAGACTGAAAGTATTGAAGGATTGCTCCACTCAGCTATGCGGGATTCTTCAGCATCTCTTCAACTGAGCCTTAAACAAGGGCATGAGCTAGTGTTGTGGAAAACACCCTGCCTGGTTTCTGTTCCAAAGAAGTCATCTCTCTCCTCTTTCAATGACTACAGACCAGTGGCCCTTACATCCCACATCATGAAGGTCCTGGAGAGACTTGGACCCCCTGCAGTTTGCTTATCAACAGCATGTTTGCGTGGACAATACTGTTATTTATTTACTATAAAAGGCACATTCCCATTTGGACTAGAACAACAACATAGTGAGAATCACTTTCTTTGACTTCTCAAGTGCATTCAATACCATCAACCTCTCATGCTGGAGGAGAAAATGGCTAAAATGCGATGGACAAGTCCAGGATTGCATGGGTCTCAGACTACCTGTCTGGAAGACCCCAGTATGTGTGGCTGGGAACCTGCTGGCCAGATCGTCTGGTCAGTAGCATTGGAGCACAGCAGAGAACTGTGCTCTCCTCCTTCCTCTTCACCCTGTACATGACTGACTTCCAGTACAGGTTGGACTTCTGCCACCTTCAGAAATTTTCTGACAACTCTGTGGTGGTTGGGTGCATTAGGGATGGGCAGGATGATGAGAATTTAGAAACCATGTGGAAAGCTTTCTTGAGTGGTGTATGAGGAACCGTCTGCTACTCGATGTGGCCAAGACTAAGGAGATGGTGGTGGACTTCAGGAGAAAGAGGAGAAGGGGATGAGCAGACTCTACTGTCTGAGAAGGCTCAGTTCCTTTAATGTGTGTAGCAAGACGTTGGCGGCCTTCTACCAGTTTTGTGGGTGCTGTCTTCTTTGCAGCAGTCTGCTGGGGTGGCAGCATCAGAGGGGGAGATTAAAAAAAGGCTGACTCAGTCTTGGGCTGCTCACTGGATGGTTTTGAGGTGGTGGTGGAAAGGAGGTCACTTTATAAACTCATTGCCATTCTGGACAATACATCATACTCCCTCTATGACCGACTGGTCAGACAGTGAAGCACTTTCAGTAACAGACTCATTCAGCTCCACTGTAGCAAGGAACGGCACAGGAGATTGTTTGTACCAACTGTGATCACACTGAAAAACTCCATCACTGTGGTGGGACATTACTGTATAATGAGCCATGGACAGCACAGGCTCACTGAGCACTGGCTGGACATTACATCATATCTGTCTACTCATAATATTATGCACTGCCACTTTGTTTACACATCCATAAATATTGCACATTGCGCTGTCACTTTGTTCATACATCAATAAGATTTCATATTGCACAGCACGTTATAATTTACAGTGTATAGTCACTCAGTTCATTCACTTGATGTGATATACACCACTGCATTGTCACCTGCATAGTATTTATGCAATTTTACTACTTATTTCATACTGCATGTTAAAGAAAAAAGAAAAAATTGCTCTATTATTATTATTATTATTTGGCAGTGATCTGTGATCTGTCTACTTTCTCAAATGTAAGATATAAAAGGTCCATAAACATTTTTCACATCTGCTGTTACAGTATGCTTTAGCTTAGGATGTTTGTCAGTACTGTAGTAAAGCTAGAGAGCATAAATTAACAGTCTCTGTGGTCTCAACATCATTTGGACTTGGTCTCAGTCTCAGGGGAGGGTGGACTCCTCAGTTTGATGTAACAGGAAACTGAACTTTTTTTCATTGTAGACTATCAACAAAACATTCAAACAGAATAAAACAATCATTCCTCTACATGTCTAAATAAAATCTTTTCACAATCTATTGAGGGTCTACTTGATCCAAGTTTTACAAAAAGAAAATATTAAAGTAAGAATAAATCAGTTTATTTCATGAATCAATGCAATTCATTATTTTCACTGGTTTCAACTATGCAAGTAATTACACTGAGTCCCTTTTTTGTATACAATATATTAACTGTATATCAATTTGAATAACCTGTATGAACAAAACTAAAGCAGAAAAGTATTTTACTACTAAAGCAGACAGTTGATGGTGAACATTTTACACAATTGTTTTTTTTCATTAGTTTGCCTATTTTCTTCTTTTACTAAAAAAACTTAAGTCAAATTTAGCTTATCAATATGATTAGACTGATTAGATTGATTGAAATACAGAAAATCACCAGCACAAAATGCACGCTTACAGTAATAAATTGTGTTTATGATGTAAGCAGCCTGAAGCTATGCTAAATATTTCCCTTGAAAGAATGTAGTTTAACAACTACTGTCATAGCAGTGCACCATAAAAAAGGATTCAATGGTTTATGAATCAAGAATCAGTATTTCAGTTTTCTTTAGATTTAGTTATAGATTTTTTTTTTTAACTTAGACATTTACTCAAGTAAAACTAAAAGTACTATGATTTATTTCTACTCAAAAAGTACCATTACAAGGAAAAATTTACTCAAGTACATACACAGTATGCTATGTAATCAGTTGAACTGATCTGTGCTCCATCTCAATGTATAATTTAAACCCATCTCTGTGAAATACAGGTTCTGATAAATTTTTAATATAAACAGACTCTTAAATTTAAAAACTCAGACTTCTCAGACTTTATCACTCACCTCCATATATGTTGTTTATAATCGTCAGTGATCCTTGAACAGTGTTTCCATTGATCACAGGAGCACAGGCGGTTCCTCCTGTCTGAGCTGTGATGCTGGCCTGGACAGAAGCTCCGTGATCTGGAGTCTGAACTTCCATCTTCTGAAGAAAAGAACTTTGGTCATCAAGCCAGAAAGTAAACTCAGGCTGTTCTGACTTCAGTAATTATCTTTCTGCTTTTTCTCTAGAAGTTATTTATGACTGTCTCTTCACCAAACAGATGTTCCTAAAGACTGGACTTTAAACCGGTTGGACAGGATTAGCTTGTCATCTCAGGAGGAAATGCATGCTCAGGTGCCTGGGCGAGTCTGCTGCCGAGTGAACCAACTCAGTGTCATCCAACTGACTCTCTATAAACATGGAGCTACATAACAGAGTAAATCTAGTACATAAAACTACACATAGAAATAGTTTTGCTGAAAAAGTGAACAAAAATAGATTCTCTTTGGTCCACATTGTGTATCTTTTGCATAATATATAATATATATATTATACAATATAATATTGTATATCTTTTATATAATAACTTCAAACACTTTACCTCTGATACTTATTTAGTTTAAAAGCAAGTACGCAAGTACAAATGTTGACTGAATACCTTTACACACAGTAAAAACAGTATTATTTAACTGAGAGTATTTCTGCCTTCACTCAAGTTAGTAACACTTTTCTTACACAACAATTAAGATGTTTATTTTGTCCACTCTGCTCCTTGCTGACCACATAAGCCCAGAAGATGCTAGGAACAAAAAATTATGGAAGCAGCAAGTTTACTGGATTTGAGAGGCTTGAATTCTTCTCAATCCAAATGCAATTAGTGAGCGATATGCCTGTATGTGTTTCAGTTGTTGAGGTTAGTATTTTAAACCTTTACCAAACATTCTATCTTCCTACAGTCATCCATCTGCTACTTCTGGTTCTTGACTGATCAGGACAGCTTGTCCCAGAATCAGGGATGGGGGAGTAGCTAAGTAGCGCACTACTTTTTGTAGCTAACTACCAATTTTGTAGCTAATAGAAGTAGCCATTACAGTTTTGTGAAATGTAGCTAATAGCTGTAGTGCCTACAAAATTTTGTGTTGCTATTGTGAAAATTTTCCACGCAAAATGTGAACCACAGAACGCGGCCGTTAACTGAGATGGTGGCGACTGTGCAGTAATGACTGAGCCACGGACAGTTCGAGCAAATGGTCACACACTGATCACGCCTTACAAGCAGGCTTAGCTCAGGGGTCACAACTGAAATGTTAAGAAGAGCCATTTTGTCCTTTCAACAAACATGAAACCACCCTGGGAGCCACAACATTTTATGTCCCTTTTACCGTGTTGGCTGTAAATATGTCTCAGTATGTGCTAACGTGCAACTATAGGCTAAAAATATAAACAAAAACACAGGATTAATTTGCTCTGCTTTAACCTTTAGGTCAGTTATAGCCACTTTTCTCGCACCACAGTCAGGAAATGACTTCGCAAGATTCTTGTAAAATATGTTTTGATGTTCGACTTTTTACGAGGCTGAAGTCGCTTCTCATTCACCAGCTTCTCATTCGAATTGTTCCATTCCACCTTAAATAGTGCCTGAGGTGCCAGATTGTCTATCAGTTGGGCTTGTTTGGGGTGTCAGGTGGAGATTCACAAACATTCTGAAAATCACACTTTGAAAGTAGCTAAAAAGTAGTGCACTACATTTCAAAAAGTAATTAAAAAGTAGCCACTACTTTTTCTGGAAAAGTAGCTAAATTGTAGCTGCTACAAATTCTGGGAAAGTAGCTACAAAGTAGCTAACTACTAATTTTTCAGTAGCTGTCCCAACTCTGGTAATATTAGTATGTATTCAATTACTTTTGTATTATATCTTTTAACATAAACAGAGCAATAATATCAGGACTTGGGGGGATATTGCAGGCCAAATTACTTACTGATTCTGACATCACAGCTCGATGACATCACACACAATAGACAGGGATGGGTCTGTTGAATGTCTTGATATGCGGATCATGTCTGTAGCGTAAACCGTTCTGAAGTTATGAAGACTAGAATTGACCTATTGTTTTGCCCACAAATCGCGGTCTCCAGGTGAGCCTGAATAAATGGAAAACATGCATAGATATAAGGTAGCTGCATGCATGGTTTAAAAGGGGTGGCTGGGGTGGCCACTCCAGATGATTTCTGCTACATTATTGGCTTCCATCTTGTTGTGGGGCAGGTGTTTGCACCTTTAACAGGAGAGTTGTTTTGCTGTGACAATTTCATACCTTTATTTCTGAGAGTGTACTGTACAACCAAAACTGTTTATGCTTTGGGTGCTTTTAAATATGTTTGTTTTCTAAGAAACACTTGTTTGTGCTAATTATGCTGTTGCTAAGCGCTGCAGTGTGGATTTAGCTAGTGGAGTTCATATCAATACTATCAATTATCAGCACATCCAAAAAAAATTGACATTTACATTAAAAAAAAAAACTGATAGTAACTTGCAATTTTAATTGATTTGTTTTAATGAAAGTGAATGTTTATGTGCTGCTGGAAAAAATGTAAAGAAGTGTGTAGCATAGAATATATACATGCAAGCATTGCACTACTATAGAACTAATATAGTTCCAGAGAGGCTGGAATCGTTTACCTTACTTTAAGAAAATGAACTACTTAAAATTGTGTCTTCCGCAAAATCTTCTACTTGTATGTTAGATCCGATTTCTACAGGTTTACTCAAGGAAATTTTGCCAGAAATAACCAAGCCTATTCTGTCAATAATAAACTCCTCTCTTAGACTTGGATACATCACAAAAACTCTTAAACTAGCAGTAATTAGACTGCTGATTAAGAAAGCGAAACTCGATCCATGCTATTAAATACTATCAAATTATAGACCCATCTCGAATCTCCCCTTTATATCTAAGATCTTGGAAAAAGTTGTAGCAAAACAACTATGTTCCTATTTGTATAGGAATCATATACATGGGAAAATTCAGTCTGGTTTTAGGCCACATCACAGTACAGAAACAGCACTAGTAAAAATTGTAAATGATCTATTACTATTCTCTGACCAAGGAAACGTGTCTTTGCTAGTCCTTCTCAATCTTAGTGTGGCATTTGACACAATAGACCATGCTATCTTACTAGATAGACTAGAAAACCTTGTAGGGGTAACAGGAACAGCTCTTTCCTGGTTCAGGTCCTACCTCAGTGATCGCTATCAGTTTGTTAATATAAACGGTGAATCATCTGTCCTTGCAAAAGTAAAGTATGGTGTTCCACAAGGCTCTATTTTAGGACCTATATTATTCACAATATATATGCTACCACTGGGCACCCTTATCAGTGAACATGGCATAAATTTCCACTGCTATGCCGATGACACTCAGTTATATATATCAAGCAAACCGGATGATAAAATTAAATTAAGCAAGATTGAGGACTGTATAAAAGACATAAAAGACTGGATGTTGAGTAACTTTCTCCTACTTAACTCGGATAAAACAGAGGTTCTGCGTCTTGGTCCAAAAGCAGCTAGAAACAAACTGTCTAATTTTATACTTAAACTTAACAACTTCTCAGTTGCATCTGGTTCATCTGTAAAAAATCTTGGTGTCATTATAGACCCTGATCTGTCCTTCGACACACATATAACTAATATTACTAGAACAGCCTTCCTGCATCTCCGCAATATTGCTAAAGAAGAAACGCATTATCTCTACAGGATGCAGAAAAGTTAGTCCATGCATTTATTACTTCAAGGTTAGATTACTGTAATGCCCTGCTGTCTGGATGTTCCAGCAAAAGCCTTAACGAGCTTCAGCTAGTCCAGAACCCTGCAGCCAGAGTCTTCACAAGAACCAGAAAGTTTGACCATATCAGCCTAGTTTTATCAACCCTACACTGGTTACCAGTTAAATTTTGCATCGATTATAAAATTCTCTTACTGACCTATAAAGCGCTAAATGGACTCGCCCCTCAGTACCTGAGTGAACTTCTCTCCTACTATGAACCATCCCGCCTATTTAGATCACAAGGTACTGGCTTACTATTAGTACCTAGAATTAATAAAGTTACGTCAGGGGGGGAGCCTTCTCATACAAAGCCCCCCAGCTTTGGAATAATCTTCCTGTCAATGTTCGGGACTCAGACACAGCCTCAGTCTTTCAGTCTAGGCTAAAAACTTATGGTAACACTTTCTATGAATGTCACCTTTTGTAAGCATCTATAAACACATTCATAACATGTTATAATGCATTCATAAGGCATTATAAACATGGCTATAAATATTTTTAAAAATGCATTACACGTTATAGCCATGCTTATTTGCATTATGAATTGTTAACATAATACTTTATAAGTACTGATCATAACAAATTATAAGAGCTCATAAGTGGTATTAAGTAAAGTGAAGCGTACTGTACTAAAGCCTCCTCCAGTGTTAAGAGTGAGGCTTCAAGTTGAAGTATTTACTGAAGGATAGTATAACGTGTTATCAACACTACTTATAGTCCTGCCGGAGTCTCTGCTGCACTGTTAATACTGTAATCTGTGATCAGTCATTCATTACAGAACTGACTCTCTGTGTGTTTTCCTTTCTTTGCCGAGTTGAACAGCTTCCCATCCTGTGCGTCTGATGCTGTTGCCTCTTCTGCCTTGATCGGGTGCCCACTGCTCGCCAGCCTTCTGGACCGGCTTGACCACCATTGAGGTTCATGCTGTAGAACGCTGTGAAATCCTCACCCTCACGAACTGACCCTCCCGATGATGCTGCCGCTGCATAAACTAAAACTAATCAAATTAATCATTTGCTCCACCCATTTCCCTGTTTGGTACTATAATACTTTATAGTAACAATATTTGCTATCCGGTGTTGACCAGAGGAGGATGGGTTCCCCTTCTGAGTCTTGCTTCCTCTCAAGGTTTCTTCCTCTTGCTATTAGGGAGTTTCTCCTTGCCACTGTTGCCACTGGCTTGCTCATGGGGGCTTGGACCCAGTTTTTTTTCTGTAATGCTGATTTTTCTGTAAAGCTGCTTTGTGACAACACCTGTTGTAAACAGCGCTATATAAATAAACTTTGCTTGCTTGCTTGCTAGTATATGGTGATGGGCCTAATATTAGGCCA